CAAGACCTAGTATGCTCCTTGACCCTCAGCACACAGCTTTAACAGTGGGGTGTTGACTAATGTACTCCCAGACTCACTCTCTCTTTTTGGGCCAAAATATCTCTGTGCTGCACCTGGGCAGGGTGGCAGCTTCTGTGGGAAGGGGTTGTAGCTAAGATAGGATGCTCTCCAGGGAAATGAAACACCTCATGTTCCTCAGGCTCAGAGTTTCATCTATCACCTCACAGTTGAATGCTCTAACTGCTAGGCTTAGTCTCTAGGAAGGATCAGACACCACTGCTAGCACTGAGTGGAGGTGTACGCTGCTGTGAGCTCTCTGTTGTGATCTTTGTTCTTGACAAGTTTTAAAGGTATATTGTGTGCTGCTTGTTCTAACTCAAGGTTACAGCTATGTAGGATAACTCAGCCAATGCTGGTCTTGGTATGTATCAAGCACTTTACATACCAAAGTCACTCCAGTAGGGAAAATTTACATCCTTTACTAAAATGTTAAATGTTTGTTAGGAATTTTTTAAAATGGTTGATAGCTAGACACAGTAGTGTAACCCAGAGCACTGAACTAGTCACTACAGCAGAGCACAGCTGGATGGGCAAGAGGGACACGTACAAAATCCCAGCTCATTGATCAGCAGAGAACAGTTGCCTTGGTTGTATCTTAGGTAATCAGTGAGAGGGAATGGTAATGCCTACAGCAGATGTACTTGCTTGTCTCCACTCAAATTTAATAGTTATGAATTTGTGTACAATTTAAATATCTATGACTTCACTTTTTCCTTAAGGACAATCATTTTTCTCTCCAAACTGTGGTTTCTATCAGCTCCCACTGGGTTCCTTCTCTTTCCCAGTTTCCTCAAGGCAGCAACCTGCATGCCAAGTCAGGCCTCAGCACTGCCATCTTCCACTCATAGAATCATAGAATTATAGAATCACAAGGTTAGAAATGACCAAAGTCAATTGCAAAATACTTTCATAATTTTTTAATGTAAGTGGAGATGTTTTTATGCAAGCTAGGTGAGTGGGATTGTCACCTTGGTATTCTCATTAGCTTTCATTTTTAGTATTTCAAAATTAATAGCTTTTTTTTATTTTTATTTTTAAATATTCCAAGAATTCATAATTGTAGCTTATGATTCTGTTTTCTCTCAACTTTTACTTGCACCTCAGCTCAGTTTATAAGTTTTTTAAACAAAACAAACATTAAACAAAATCACTTCAAATGGACACTTGTGATTATATTTTAATATATACATTTAATGTTCTGTAACATTGGTAGCCTTCAATCACATTTCCATGAGACTTTAAGGTGGACCTTCCTGTTTTCAGAAAATGATGTTTTCTTCCCTTGTCTGCTTTAAACTGGGAGCAGAGGAGGTCATGGTGTGTAGAGGTGCCTGAGCTCATGCCAAACCTTGAGGAATACTAGCTTGATCTCAGACACACATATATTTATTTTTATTAACTTCAGCTCACCTCTGTGCTGGTGAGGATGCATTTGTGCTTGTTTTAGGATAAAGTTTTTCATGCAGAGGGTGGTGACGCAGTGGAACAGGATGCCCCATCCCTGGAGGCATTCAAGGCCAGGTTGGATGTAGCTCTGGGCAGCCTGGTCTGATGGTTGGCGACCCTGCACATAGCTGGGGGATAGAAACTAGATAATCATTGTGGTCCTTTTCAACCCAGGCCGTTCTATGACCTACAAGATCATCTAGTCCAACCATCTTCTCATCATCATTGCTACCACAAGCTCCTCATCCAGACGCCTCTTGAACACTGCCAAGGACGGCAACTCCACAACCTCCCTTGGCAGGCCATTCCAGTGCCTGACCACTCTCTGAGAGAAAAAGTTTTTCCTCATGTCTAACCTAAACCTCCTCTTGTACAACTTGTGGCCATTTCACCAGGTCCTGTTTGTTACCTGGGAGAAGAGGCCAAACCTCTCTTCACCACAACCTCCCTTCAGGAAGTTGTAGAGTGCACTGAGGTCTCCCCTGAGCCTCCTCTTCTCCAGACTAAACAATCCCAGCTTCCTCAGACACTCCACATAAGGTTTGTGCTCCAGACCCCTCACCAGTTTTGTTGCCCTTCTCTGGACATGTTCCAGGGCCTCAACGTCTTTCCTGTAGTAAGTGGCCCAAAACTGAACACAACACTTGAGGTGCAATCTCACCAGTGCTGAGTAGAGGGGGATGATCACCTCCCTGCTTCTGCTGGCCACACTATTTCTAATGCAGGTCAGGATGCCGTTGGTCCTCTTGGCCACCTGGGCACACTGTCGGCTCATGTTCAGCCAGCATCAACCAACACACCCAAGTCCCTTTTCTCTTCACAATCATCCAGCCACTCATCCCCAAGCCTATAGTGCTGCATGGGATTGTTGTGGCCAAAGTGCAGGACCAGGAACTTGGCCTTGTTGAATCTCATCCCATTTCCTCAGCCCAGCAATCCAGCCTATCTAAATCCCTCTGAAGGGCCTCCCTACCCTCAGGTGGATCAACACCACCTCCCAACTTGGTGTCATCTGCAAATTCACTGAGGGTGCACTCAATCCCCTCTGTTATGTCCACATTTACCTCTGGTGGGAAAGGATTGGTACGGGAGCTCTATCTGGCCCTCACAACAGAATGCATGCTGGTGTTGCTGGAGATATAGAGTGAATTAGCACAATATGGCTTTATTGTATCATCTTCAAGAGAACTTTTGAAAAGATTTCTTTTCATCATACCTGCATTTTTCACCACTTTTGTCCAAAGCACTTGAAATCTAAAACAAGCCATTGGCAACAGGTTTAAGAGATGGGTGAGTGTGAAATGTCGCATGGCTGCAGAGCACCATTTTCTACACAAACAAGATCATGTCCATGCTTCGTGATTCCTTTCTTGTCAGCTGCTGAGCAGGCTGAGTCACTTTGTTCATCCTTAGAGCTGTCAAGGCAGGGGATAGCAGGAGGTCTCTCACATTTTCCACAGTGAAGAACTCTAAGATAAGGCACCATTACTCTCACTATGGGATTAGGATCTGTAGCCCTCCACGTGCCTCCTGCTCAGACTTCCACTTGGCCCGCAGCCTGTGTGGGCAAGTGGGGAGAGGCCCCAGCCCAGAGGGTGGTGAGCACTGGAGGTCATTGCACCCCAAATGCCAGATACCAGTAAGGTTTATGTCTCAGGGAGTAACTTATTTCCAGTCACACTCTCTTTGTAATCGAGGTTGCCAGACTTATCTCTAGGAACAGGATTTCTTCTGGAAACAGGCCATTGTGAAAATACCCATATATCTACAAAATACACACTGCTTTCTTCCTTTGGAAAGTTGCATTTTGTCACTAAAAACAGGGTGGAGGTGTGATTCTGAGATCCTCATCATCAAGCTTAAACTTTAAGTGGAAAACTTAGAGACTCCATTGCTGGTGTGCAATCAAACACGACAAACAGATTACAGTATCATTGGCTACCTCCCAAAACAAAATTTGTTGATGCTTATAAAGTCTGAAGAAAATGATCTCATGATAAAAACAGCAATCCAAATAAAGCCAGACAGACTTGAGTGATATTTATTGCAAACATCTTTCTAGGTGTCTGAAGAAACATTGTGCCACCCAAGCAGTCAATAAATTAAATGTCTTTTGAAGAAATGTTAGCAAGTAGGAGAACAGCTTGTTTGTCTTCAAATAAAAAGAGATACTCCAAAGGAAGTAAAGCAGACTTCACGGGAAGAGCTTAATTAATATCCCTATATATTATCTTCCAAGAGAAGCAACAGAGAAGAAGTCTATGTCAATTAACTGGGCAAAAATATCTGCTTAGTTAAAGGGGTGTAATTAAGAACCATGTCCTGAGAACTGCTTTTAGAGACCTTCTGCTGTTTAAAAAAAAATTATCTGGGACAAGTTTTCCACTGTGTAGTAGTTTCAGTAGCAATAGTTTGTTTGACTAAAATGTCTGGACAAAAAGTTTGCAAAGGATGCAGTCAATAACAGAAAAATGTACTTTCACATATTTGCATTAACCAGAATCCATACACAGAAGAAAACTCAGGTAGTGCTTACTTAGAGACTTAAGCTTATTCTGAGTAACAAATGCTGACACCCCTCCCTTCCTTCTCCTCCTCCATTTTCCCCTTTTATTTGTTTTCCTCCTCTGAAAAGCCTTAACAGAGATGCTCAGAATATAAATGAATAAAGTTGTATATATCCCAGCAGTAAATATAACGGGTAATGCAGAAAAGTCCATGAAAAAAATAATAGGTTTTGGACAGTATGTAACAAAGAATGCAACAAAATTTGAGGAAAGAGAAGATAAATGGAATAGCAGCATTCAAAAAAAAAGCCTCCATTCTCTAAGTTCAGTTTGTCACAGTGTGCACTGAGAAACGTGGCAGGCAATTAAAGAAGACTTTGCCACGTGCGAACATGTGAGTATGATTACAGATCTTGCACAGATCCAACACTTCTTAGTGTCTGAATACAATACTTAAAAAATAATAAAGTGTGATGCATTTATCTAAATGAATTGAATCATCTTAAAGAGTTACTCAGTAATGTACTTCAAATCCTTGTACTTCAGATTTTCATTTTTCTGTGAAACAGTATGAACAGTACACACTGAGAATATTAGGTGCACAGGAACTTTTAAAATGAAAACGGAAAACAGTAAGAAACCATTTTCTGGAGATGTTGCAGTCATGCCACCAAGATTCACATGACGTACACAAATTTACAGGCAGTGTTTATAAATTAAAATAACTGTTAGAATAAAAGACTCTGTAAGGAAACATTTAAACAAATGAAATATAACTTTCAAATTAGGAACCAGTGGGAATGTGGGTGAAGCCACTGTTTCAGAGACCTGGATAGAAATTTCTTTCTGAGTTGTTCAACAACATTTCAACTGAGTCTCTGGGAGGAGTTTATACGACCCTTTTTCTGTTTGGATCAGTCATGCTGGTGCTTTATAAAGTGATAAAAGTAAGAGTCTCAGATAATATCAATGTTTCACCACACTTTCTAAAGATTTATATTTATACTTTTAATGTGGCAATTTTTAATTATTAAAAAATTAGAAAACCAGATGGAATTACAAAACAGCAACAGGTTACTTAATCAACTTTTGCCTACCGGGATAAATAGAACATACCACAGAATATATCAAAGCAGACACTGATGAGACACTATACATTCCATTAGTATGCAGGAGTTTTCCTCTTCAGATATCAGTTCTTATCAGATATAAGCACATGGCCCATCAATCTTATTAAATAAACCCAACAACTCATTATGTTATAATCCATAGCATATAACATCATGGCAAAAATCAAAAGAAGTACACTGGATCTCCCCACATATCTGTGAAATCTGCCACCAAATTATTGGAGGTAAACAAAGAATGAAAAATAATTGCTGTTATTTTAATAAGGACTATGAAATTTAAGTTAGTTTGCAAATATTAATAAACCTCCTCTACCTGTGCAAGAGAGCCTTAGAACAAAAGTAATCAAATACTGAAATTTGTCGTGCTTGTTAAACAATGTTAGAAATATTCGTTAAGCTCTATTGCATGACATGAACTACATACATGGATAAAACAAGAAAACTAAGAGTGAATCAAAGTGCAAGCCTGTAAACTCATAATAAAATAAACATTCTTTATTTGTATGAAATATCTCCTGAACTTATTGCATTACTTTGTAGATTTTTGTAAAACTTTTCAGTATAATTTCCCAGGATGTGCTCTGAAATAAGAATGATTTCAAACAGGATGCCAATATGCTTCAAAAGGAAGCTCTACAATTGCTTTATTTGGCCAATCAATCGTAGCTGATGAATTTCAAGATCCCTAAAATAAACTGACGGCAAATATTGCACATCAACTAAGTGTCTAAATGATGTGCAGTGATATCTTTAATGAGTGCCACCAAATAAATGTGTATGTGCATACATTTGGTTATTGCTATCAGAATTATCAGCCTACAATTTAATCTGGCCTACCAGAAGCCCATACAAATGGAAAAGAATACTTGCTGTGGATTTTTCACCAAGCTTCAAGAGAATGTTTGTTAGTACCTTCAGATTAATACCAGTTAGGTTTTGAACAGTTTCAGTCTCATGCTAGATGATGTAAAACAGATGAAAAAAATGTGTTATGCAAAATATAAGAATACAGAAAAAAATAGTATTATTTACCGAATAGCATCAAGTAATCAAATTTATACCATACAAGCATCAACAGAAAATGTAAATGTACTAATAAGGTAGTATCAACCACTTTTTTTAGCTACTTGAGATTCAAAACTGCTAATCTTGTATATGTTGCTTTAAAATGCATCAAGTATCTCTGTTTATGCACTATTTAAAAATTTGATAGTCAATGACTACAATGAAATGTATGTATAATACCTGAATTTAATATTTTAATACCTCAGGCCCAGATTATCAAAGCATTTAGATTCCTATACTGCAAGGAAGATCTGGGTCTCGTTATATACTAATCCCTTTCATGAAAGTAGTAGCTGGTTTTGATGTTGGGAATTTATTGTGTTGTCTTTCCCTATACACGGAAGGAAAGGGTCGACATTAAAGAAAGAGCGGTTTCAATAGGCTGAAAGGTTATGGTATTGTGACTACATGAACCACTTTCCCCACACAACATAAAAATATTCTAACATTAAGGATTATGTTACAACTCAGTGGAAATATGCAGTAATGCAATCCGTTTCCTTTGTCTGAATGACAAAAATGCAGTCTTAACAGTCACAAGAGCCTGCCTTGTGTTAGCTATTAAAAAAAAATATATTTATATATATATTTATGCAACTACTATGTGCATTAAACAAAATCACTATGAATCAGCAGGGTTTAATAACACTTTTATCTGAATCTCTGGGAAGGATGCACTGAAGTCTGTGGTGCTTCTTAGGAAAGATTTTGAAATGGCAAAGAATAGAAACCCATTTGTTTAATATCTTCAGATTTATTTTATTTTATTTTGTTGTCTAAGAAATGTTCTATAACGTTTCTGTTGGATAAAAAAGATCTATTGCCTTGACTTTAGTCTACCACTCAGAAATGAAAGATTTATCTTGAAAAGAACCTGGTAATTAATTTTTAATGAACATTGAAACTGAAAATCAGCCCAATTTCATTGTGAACTCCCATGAAATAACAATTTCACCACTGTAAAATTCTCTGTTGCCTTCATTTCTTATCAGTTTGTATATCATGAATTGTTTGAAAGGATATTGATCAGCAATGTACAAGAAACATTGTACTACTCCTGGAAAGCATATATATTGTGGTTTACTTACTCAGGTGGGTAGGCTATTTTAGCATTGAAAAGTGAGTGTACTTCCACATCTGTTTGTAGAAATATTGGAAAATCCTTTTATTTTTCTTTTTCACTTGCACTGAGTTAATTTTCTCGATCACCTGTAAACACTGATCAGTGTTCTTTGCACTGAAAGTGTACAGATTTGTCACTCAGTCTTTGACATACCAGAGAAGAACACTTGAACGACAGGGTAATCCCCTTGTGCACCAAAGCTTTATTATATTTTTGATTACTGTGCACCACCATACTAAAGCCAATAATGTGGCACTTGTGCCATAGTTCTGATACCATAAGTGTCCACTGACAAGTGTTCTGCATGAACCACTGTGTCTCAGTCCACTAACAAAGGCTACTGTGCAATGGTAATCTGGTATCTTAGATAGTTTTTCTTCCTGAACAAAGCTTATCCAAAATCTTCTTACTATCAGCAGCTTAGGGCTCCTTTTCTTTATAGAGATGCAAAGTAAATGTCTTACACCTGTAGGCCAGTACTGGTGTTCTGTCTTAAAAATTTTAGCACTGCTCTGATACGATGAAGCCTTCTTTTTCTCCGACTGGTTCCACTTCAGCATATGCAGGATGTCCAGATCCTCTTCTGAATTTCATTGCTGGCCATCTGCTCGGACGCCGCTTTAACAGCAACAAGAAAAAAAGAAGTTTTCAGAATATAAAGGGTACAACAATAAGTTAAAGATTAAAAACTTTAATGATGAGCTGTACAGTCACCATTAGATGATAGGAGAAACATGCCCATTGCTCTTCCTGCCTAATAGAGCACTGAGATTTGCTCCATGGGAGATATGCTCCATGGGAGGCTGTGTTTCTGAGTCCACCAAAACCATACTATTTTTAATTATTTATATCACATTCTTTAATTCAAGACTGACTAAATAGTGAATTTTTATTCCAAATGATATAATTCATGAGTACAGTAGGCTATGAGCTCAAACACGACAGGTTCCATCTAACCACCAGAAAGAACATATTTCCTGTGTGGGTGACAGAGCACGGACACAGGCTGCCCAGAGAAGTTGAGGAGTCTCCCCTTTTGGAGATATTCAGAAGCTGTCCAGATAGTCCTGGGTAGGCTGCTCTGGGTGGCTGTCCTTGAACAGGGACAGGTGGCACCAGATGGCCTCCAGAGATCCCTTCCAAACTCTATCATTCTGTCATTTTGTGATTCTAATTGAGTAGTTTACTTTGATGGTTCAAATGGAATCAGCCTTTTCATTTAAATTCTTTCAACCTTTGAATGCAAGGGTCTTAAGAGTTCAAAACCAATTTTCATTAGTGTCTGTGGTGATGGCTTTAAAAATAGCTAAGGGACTGAGAAAATACATTTCTAGAGCAGATAAAACAGTTCCAGATTGTGACAGCTATAGGAAGGGAAAGTGCTTTACACAACTTGGATTTTTCAAAGCGACTAACATCTGGGAAGATGCAGATTTGAGATGACCATGTTGAAATTCTGCCAGAGAGAACAGTTTTCAGGACAACTCTTTCATAATGTTAGCTAACACAAAACACTCACCTAAAATGGTTATTCCTCATTGAAAATTTCCCACTACTAACTATGCTAACACATTTTTCTCTATTCTGACCTCTGCTTGGAGGGAAGGCTGGAAGGTGTAGTAAGGTACGTAGAAACATTGCAGGAGAATAAGAGGAGAAACAAGGATGGTAAATTACATCCTATATTTTCATTGCCACCTCAAAATCAAAATATTCTTCACTTTCTAATTCTAAAAAATAATATTTGATCTGATTTACTGTCCCTTTAATACTGCATTTTGATTGACTTCTAAACAGTAAGGATATATCATGCTGCTGAATGTCTGTACTGGGGGCCACAAAGCAGGTACAGCTATGACAGTATGCCAGAACTCACGGTGCTGTTGGGCAGCAGTCCTTACAGAAATCTTGGAGCACAGAGTTTTTCTTGGTGATCACTGTTAAGAAAGCAACTGGTTTATTTTTCTCCTGTTCCACAATCTGGTTGACGTTGAGTCATCCAGAGCTAAATTCTGTTTGGCAGGTAATTTAAAACTGCAGGCCTTTCAATGCAACACCTTTCTAAAAAGTAGGAAGGTAGAATCTTGTTTTCTTTAATGGATGTCTTTTCCTAACAAGCAAACTTAGTCTATTCAAAGTTTGGAGGCTTTTTTTCTACCTAAGCTTGATTCAAACTGGCTTCAAAATTAAGGAGGATTGTTTGGCTATTGCTAAATAAAGGGGTCAGATTCTGTTTTCAGACTCACAGAAGTAAATCAAGAGTAATTCAACTAAATGCATCTGACTTATTCCAGATATACACCAGTATAAATGAGAATTTGACCGGAGAGTACTCTAAAGAAGAAAATGAAAATCAATGGAAAACTAGTAGGGAAGAATAATTAGAAACAGTCTCAAATGGCAGCATATAAAAATGAGCTGAGTCTTAATCTCTTAAGATGCTGATTTTAAAATGAATTCCTGATTAATTTCTACTTTCTTGCTATGCTCTTACAATCCGATTTTACCCTTTTCTACTAATCTTTTTTTTTCCCATTTGCCTTTCTACATGATGAAATGTGGTTAGTAGATAGATGTGTATCAGTTCTATTGATACAATGGGATACAACATAAATAGCAGCTAATAAAGAAATCAACATATTTGAAAGTCATCTCCAAACATTTGTTGCAGTTTTATGTGGTTTCTCTTCATGCTCACTCTTATCATGGTGAGATTTTCCATTCCTACTGAAAGTCTGTTTAATTTCAACTCCTGTGGATGTGAGTGTTTTAAGTGGTTAGCGATCTTAAAGCAATGACAAGTTAGCAATTCACTGACTTGCCTATTGACCTCACAAAAATCTTTAGTGACATTACAATTTTAATTGATAAAACCAAAAGCAATTTGATGCCAAGGGATAAATAGGTCCTTAAGTTACTGAAGTAGCTCAGGAAGAGCTTAATGCATTCTTGATTTTCTCTGCAAAGCAAAGTAATAAGTGGACTAAAAAACCAAAACAAATAAAAAAACTCCATGACCTAAAAAAAACCCTAATGAAACAATAAATGAAAGACAACAGGAAGAACAAAAGCTGTGTACTTAAACTAATTCCTTATTTTTTTCATCCAATTTAACAGGAAAAAATACGCTTCATTCTCTGGAATTAGAAAATTAGAACTCAGAGGAAATCCTCCAAGCTGCCGCTGAAGAGCTGTAATTCCTGCTTCCTTTCAGTGTGCAATGAAGCAGGAAAACGGAAATAGGATTTTTCTCATAGCTTCCACGAGTTCACTTTTTTAAGCAAGTGAGCTAGAGGAAAGCAGTTGTGACTGAGACATGTATGCCTCAGTTTGCGTAAGACTAATTTATTATATACATTAAATAAAACCCTTAGATTCTACTGAAAACGATAAGAGAAAATGAAAAAAATAGTAGTCAATTGAAATTACCTTTCACACTGAAATTGAAATTTACCTTTCACATTTCTTACATTACACCTATCCACACTACTGTTGGTGGCTGCAAAGTCAATATGACTTCCTATGGCAATTATTAAAGCTAGAAAAAGCACCTTCATGTAAATATTGGTGTAGAGGTAGAATGGAGAGTCTCACTTCTGAGAGAAAAACTAAAGTGATTACACCTCAAAATACTAAAAGGTTGAAGCAGGAGTATCTTCACACTGTTTTTTCATTGAAAGATCTCCAAGTTCATTCTCATGGTTGATCAGATTCTTCTTTTGATATCCTTTAACATGAGGGAAGATTGAGCCCTATAGAGCTGCTATTGTCCATTAAACAGCACAATTTCATTAATAGGTGATTAAAAAAAACAATGAAAAATTTTACAATAAGATTTAAAAATCTATATTAGAAAATAATACAATTAACTGAGTACACATAAGCAAGAGAGGAAGTCTACTTTGTACCTACCATAGGCAAATAGAGAGTAAACAACATACAAGATCAATACAGGACAGATATTGTCCAATACAGCTTTATCGGATTACTATATTTGAAAATTGATGACCCTCTTCTTCCTAAGGAACTGAGAGGTTTTGGTGCTAACATTATATACTATCTCTAACGTTTCTTATAGTTAAGCAACACTTTTCACTGGAGATGGTAATTCTTTAAAAGCAATTGCAATAATATGTTTTGTTAGCTGCAGTAATTATGAACTGTTACCCTTCATTTAATACAGCTGCATAAAAGAGAATTTTCTGTCAGCAAAAGACAGAAAGAACTTAATATGTATTACATCTTTGAAATTCTTACATCTTATCCCATATATTTTTCATTCCACCCTCATCCTAATTTTCATTCCATAAATAAAAAGGAACAAGCACAATTTTATACAGATCTGAAATGTCAGGAGAATGATAAAGAGAAAACGTTGTTAAAATCTGCCCTTTTGTCATCTCCCCATCCTTGTCACACACACACACACACGCTGCAAATCTTCTGTAAGATCATTAAAAGTTCTGTTATGTGTAAAGTAACCAGAAAAGAAAGATACAGGGTGTTAGCACATGGATCAACTCTTCGTTCTCATTCATCAGTAAACTTGAACTGTCAGTTTCATCAAAATACAGACATATTTTCTCCAAACGTAGCTTATGCAAGTACAAATACTTGACAGTGTGAGAAGCAAACTTAATTTTCCACTTACCAATATAAAAGCTGAAGTTATTGAGTAGAATCATAGCAGCATAGAATCAGTTAGGCTGGAAAAGACACTAAGATTATCTAGTTCCTCCATGCCCGCTAACCATGTTCCTTGCTGCCACATGGACGTGTTTCTTGAACACATCCAGGGACAGTGACTCCACCACTTTCCTGGGCTGCCTGTGCCAATGCATTACCATTCTTTTCCAAGAAGGAATTTTTCTTAATATCCAACCTGAACCTCCCCTGGCATAACTTAGGGCAATCACCTCTTGAGTAGTTTTTAGGCTGAATGCTTTGATCCAACTTTGTCTTCGCTATTGATTATTTTCCTGTATTTCAAACCTTTTATATTTTCAGGACTATTTCACTGCTTCTTCTGAAGGTTACATCTTACTTATACATTGATGTCCAATTCTTTACTTAATTCAAATGTATAAATGTATCAAAGTCTATTTAAAAGACTGCCATAAACATCCTTAAGTCTGGATGTGTGTAAATACAGAGCTATCTAAATACTGGATTAATTGTTAGAACTCTGGACAAAGTGCAAAGACTATGAATTAAGAAAAAGGAGAAAAATATAGTAAAGTCTATTACTAATGTGTTAACCTGATGTCATCAAACTCTATTAGTACTCATCTGCTGTTAATCTACCTGGCTATTCAAGCCTTTTACACTCTCAAGACAAGGAAAGCATGTTTATATTTATGTGAAATAATGTTTAAGTAGCTACTATTTATACACCAGTCTTTAATCTCTACTACAAACATCTACTTTCCTTGGCAAACTGCAGTCAGAAATGGAAGGTGCTTCAAATATCTGAAACTGTATATCTAGAAATAAGATTAATTGCCTGAAACCACATTAATTTAACATTTTGAAGAAACTGTTCTGACAAAATAGATTGCTTTAGACGGTAAGATTCAGTAGTATCATTTACTAACTTATTTTTTTTTTCTTTTTGATAG